TGTGTGTGTGTGTGTGTGTGTGTGTGTGTGTGTGTGTGTGTGTGTGCGCGCGCTTGTGTATGCACACGAACACACAGATGTATTAAGAGGGCACTGGTAGGTCTTCATGAGGCCTTTAGAGGGCACTACTCCACTGAGAAATAGACCATCCTGTTACATTCATCCCCACAGGCCGGTACACACTGATTAACAGAGGCTTCTAATCAATTATAAACCTTTTCATGTATTGTCAGTAACTTTTGATTTCCAAATGTGTATACTTGCACGTTCTCTCTGCGGGGTGTGTTCCTTTCTTTGTGAAGAGCAATTGGCCAGTATGTTGTAGATGCTGGTGCTCATACAGGGACACTTGAAGTGATCTTGGTATAGCAGGGATAGAGGAGGAGAGAACAGCCTAATGAAGTCTGTTAATTTGCTGCTATCAGAATGAAAGTCTCAGACTAATTATGGCCCTGGGTCATCTAGTCTGGATCACAGAGAGAGGTGGCCCTGGATGGTTCGCTTTGATTAGCTCACTCAAAATAGAGCCCCTCACTTCATTACTCTGATCTCCCTCTCTGTCTCACACTCACTGGCGCTCACAAAACTCTGGTGGGGAGGTTAGTCCATGTGCAAACAGACTAGTCGAGCTGTCATCGCTTTGCTGTTCAGGATGGAGGAGTGTATGCATCGATGAGGCGGAGAGGGAAAGGTGAGGGCAGGGTATGCATAGTCCAAGTAACTACTGGACATGTGTCTTATGTCTCTCGTGCTCTCTGTCAGGCTGACTGAAGTTCAGGACATATCTGGATCCGAAGCATATAGTGAGTCAACAGTCAAACTGTGCAGCTGGTTTGACTGTTCTCCTTTCCTTCTGTTGACTGTAGAGTTGACAGATGTGTCGGAATGGTGAATTTGTTCACTTGCTGCAGACAGCCCCCCTCCTGTGCATCAGATGTCTCACAGTGGATTTTGCTTCAGGCAGTTTTGTGTGTCTGTGTGTGTGTGTGTGTGTGTGTGTGTGTGTGTGTGTGTGTGTGTGTGTGTGTGTGTGTGTGTGTGTGTGGTGTCTGCACATTGAATTTCAAGGCCCCTTGAATTATCCCTGCCACAGAAACCCCTTTAATAGCAGTGATTTAAGCTTTACCTGCATGACTGCCTTGATTGGCTATTGGAAACAACACACTGATTTAATTAGCCTTTCAAGTCTGTGGCCCTCTCAACTTTCCCCTCGCTGTGCGCTTATCTGCTTCCTCGGAGGAGGCGATTGTGCCACTATATCATTCCATAAATAATAAAGGCACATAGGAAGCGACATAGACAAACACAAGATGAAATGACGTGCACTCGCATGTTTTCCAGTAAGGTGTTTTTTTTTCTTTCTCTGATTAGAAATCCAACCTGATAAAATAAAGTGGTGATCCGAGTGTAAAAGGCTGGGGCAAGGGAAGAAAGTAGGCTGTGTGTGTGTGTGTCTGAGAGAGAGGTGGGGTGGGGGATATAAGGTGTTACTTGCTTGTCTCTGAGGCCTGCCTGTCATGTCAGTCATGCTCTTTCACAGCAGTTTTATTTCTTCCACCACTCCCTTTAGTGCTTTGATGGCACAATTCACTGGTACTGCCTTGTGGGAAGCACTGCTGTGGTTGGGGATGTGTGTGTGTGCGTGCACGCAGGGGTGCACGTGGGTGTGCATGTGTGTGTGCATGTGTGTGTGCAGTGTCACACATTGTCATATTTTTTTATCAAGTGCCTTTAAACTGTGCCAGAGATTGGATAAGAAGTACTCAGTAGAATTATTACAAGCAAGGTGAGCAGAGCAAAACTCTTTCAGAATTCTGGCTTTGGATCCTCATCTGACCCTGCAACTGAACATTACTGTGCTTTTCTTCAGAGAATAACACAACTTCTTCTTTTTATTGTGTACCCATTTATGGTTTTTTTTTGTTTTTTGTTTTTACAAAAACACAAATTCAGGTTCAGGTTCACTGTCACTTTTGGAATAATTCAGAATCCCTTTTCCCCTAAGGATCCTACACTGGAGGCAAAGAAATTGAGACGGCCATTCATCTTTGTTCTGTTTTTCATACTTATCTGTCCTCCTCCTTTGTCCACCGTCCCGCCATCACATTGACATTTATCACAAGCCTTCATGAAGAGACTTCTCACACTATGTGACGTTTGCTGTGGCAGAACAGAGCCGTTTTCTCATTGCTGGTGTCTGTTCCTAATGCACTGCTCTCTGCTGTCTTGTGATTGACTCCTGCTTTCCGTTTTCTGCGTTATCTGATCTCAGCTCCTGATCTTAACAGTGGTTTTAGTCGATGGCTGGGTTTGTAACTTGCCTCTTCCTGTCATGCTCTGATTCCATCTCTCTCCCTCTCTGAACAGGTGCAGCTTTTTATTCCTGTGATGTGTCATCTTTTTACACTTATTAATCCACTCGTCATTAGGTCTTAAAATATCTACTCTAGTCGCATCATACCTACGCTGTGCTCCTGTTCTGCTTTCGCTAGATGTGTAATGGGATGCAGACTCCCCACTGGTTTGCTCTCACAAGTGCATCCTTATCTTTCCTACTTCCTGGGTGATAGCGTAATCTGATAACTACAACTGTTGCCACTCCCTCTGATTGATTAACCACTGACCTCTGACCCTCCTGCAGGATATTTTAATTGGCTGATGTATAATGAGCAGGCTTCCCTGAAGAAGAGCTGTTTTAAGGCCAAAGAGGATAAGAGGGTGATGCTGGAAGGGGGCAATCCAATTAGCTGATTTAACCGATAACACCTGAGGTAGCTGTGTGCGTGCGTGCGTGCGTGTGCGTGCGTGTACTGTGTGCGTGCGTACGTTGGAGTAATGTAATTTCTATCTTTCTATCTCACTATCTCTTATACAATAGAGATGTCTCTAGCCCTTATGTGAGGACGCTTCATAGATTGTGACATAGCCAAGTGTGTTTGTGTGCTGAAACGAGGTTGTTGATACTCTGTTGTTATGTGTTTGAGAGTCTCTGTGTACTTCGTAATAAATACGATTTTGTCGAACTGCATGACGAATAGATCAATACAACATCTTAATGTAGTAAGCTAGAGGCGAGTTAGGGCTTTCCTCTTAGTACATCTCAATATTCAGGATTAAAAAAAATTATCTGGTGAATTACAAAACATGACGCTGTACAGAATTAAGACAAAACCCTTACTTACCCTTAAAAAGGTAATCAGCAGCCAGGTGCTGCTAATCAAATGCACTTGATTAATTGAGTAAGTGTGAATGTCTCTATAAAAACAGAGGTTTTGACAGTTGGCTGGTCTGGAGCATTCAGGTTTGTGTTTACTCGATGCCAAAGAGCAAAGTTGTCACTAATGGTATTAGTGAAGCAACTGATGCTCCCCAACAATCTGGGAAGGGTTATAAGTTAATTTCCAAATCATTTGAAATCCAGCATGCTGTAGAGAAATATCATTTGCATGTGGAGAACATTCAGGACAGATGGCAATCTTGCCAGAGATGGACTTCCCAGCAAATCCACTACAAGGTCAGATGAGCTAGCCTTTTCTCTCTAAATAGAACATAGCAGCATGGCTTAAGTTTACAAAGTTGGATCTAAATAAACCACAAGACTTCTGGAACAATGTCATTTGAACAGATGAGACCAAAGTGGAGACGTTTGGCTATAATACATATCATATTTGGCAAAAAGCAAACGCATCAGCACCGAAACCTCACACCAGCTGTCAAGCACAGTGGTGAAGGGCTGATGATTTGGGCTTGTTTTTCAGCCGTAGAACCTGGGCACCTTGCAGTCATTGATACAACCCTGAACTCCTCTGTATATCAAAGTATTCTCGAGTAAAATGTGAGCCAGTCTGTCGGACAACTAAAGCTTGGCTGAAACTGGGTCATGCAACAGCACAATGATACCAAACGCAGCAGCAAAACTCCTACAAAAAGATTTGCTGCTGAAAAAGAGTGAAATCAAAGTGCTGTAATGGCCCAGTCAAAGTGTAGACCTCAGCCTGAATGAAATACTGTGGCGGGACCTTCAGAGAGCTGTGCATAAATGAATGAACTGAAGCATTATAAACATTATAAAGAAGAGTGAGCTAAAATTCCTCCACAAGGTTGTGACAGACTAATGAAATCATACAGAAATCAATTGCTTCAAGTTATTGCCACTAAAGGTGGTTCTAAAAGCTACTGAATCATGGGGTGCATTTTGAATTAGTTTTTCCTCAGTGAATAATGACACACTGACATATGTCATGTGATGTTGTTACCTACCATTTTTTTGTTATGTCCTGATATGTCAAACCATTGAAATGGCATAGGGTGTGTGTTCTTTCTGACTGTATGTGTGCTTTAAAACTTTGTTGTAAGTAAACTGTTGAGTTAACATGAATTATTATTCTAATGGGAGATAAATGCACAGATCCATTTAGCTTCTGTAAAATGTTGAATGCAGAAAAAAGTGGAAATTTATTCCCATCTTCATACAAATTTGCTTGTCTTCTTTGGAAACATTTCAGCCATGTTTAGAGCTGCAATATCAATAACAAAAAGGACATGCATACTATAATACAGAGTTTCTAAATGTCACACAAAAGCTGCACAAACACACACATTCACATTGCTCGTTTGTCCATTCAACTATCCAAAAGGTGTTATACTACCATTATTGATGAGGCTAGAAACACAAATGTGATGTTAGCAGTTGTGGTTAAAGACTACCTGATTTGGGGAAAAGAAGTTGGGAAGCTGTGAAAGTAAAGCATACATCATTTTTCATTTGATCTAGTGAATATTTGTCTGTTAAACCCACTCTTCCAAGTCAGATTTTAGAGCGTATTTGTGGTTTCCTTTCTCTTTGTGTTTCACGCTGCAGTGGACAGGAAGCATTCTTATAAAAATGTATTTTCATCTCTCTCCTCTATCCATGGTACACATTTTTCACTGCCCCACCCCACCCCTCCCCTCCCTTGTGTCTCTTTTGCGTTTTGCTCTCTCTCTCTCTCACATCGAAGACTGTGAGGAGAGTGTACTGGCAGAGGAACCACGTAAGTCCAAGGATTGCTCAGTGTGTGGCCGTGTTTGTGTATTTGTGTGTGGTGCGCCATACTGTAGGTGTTCATGTTTGTGGACATCATACCAGTCTCTTCATGCGGGGGTTCACAGCATACCTCTTCACTTTTTAATTAGATACAGAATCCCTGAAAGAAGACTGAGTCCATGTGGAACAGCAGAAATACCTTTTCATGTGGATTAACCCGTGTGCTCCTCTGATCTGTTCCCCTCCTCTCCTCTGCTTTCCTCTCCTCTTCTCCTCTACTTTCCTCCCCTCTCCTACCCTCTCACCACATACACGATAATTACAGCACCAGACAATTACCCCGAAAACTCCTGGGATGCACATTTTGTTCTCTTAATCTGGTCTCTTAAATAATTAAAACCAACCATGAACTCCTCTTTGTGATCGTGGCTCAAGAGTGTGAGAGAGATGTGGGTGTATGTGTGTGAACAGATGTGGAAGCATACATCTCTGTGTCGTCTCATTGGCTTTCCTATCTACCAACAGCTCTGTCACAATCCCACCTACCTGCCTCCACGTGACCCTAAAGCAGATTTACCTTCACCTATAACATCTCTGCCGAATGTGCAACTCTGTGCTTACGGGCCCCGTACCTTACTCTCTCAGTGGTGTGATGAGAGAACTTCCCCATAATCCCTTTCTCCATGCTTCTCTACTCACATGGCATCATATCATTGAGTCATTCTTCGCTTGCAAAAATATGTAAATATATACAACAAAGGCTTGCGGAAATATTTTGTGAGCCTGTTAGAAATAGCTGACATGTTAAAAATTTGACATATTTACACTTAATGGAATATTTCAACTCAGCAAATAAATAAATATAATGCATCTGAACTTTCTCCACCACCTAGTTAATCTTTTTGCTGTTGTTCTCTTCTTTATGTTGTACTGATATCTAAATGTTATAATTGTGCTGTTTCCAAGTGTGTGTGTTTCATTCATGCTTCATTTGTCTAAATTCTGCCTATGTGTGGTGGCTGCAGTTTAATATTTCTGTCTTTATCAGCTAAAAAAGAAGAGGAGGATACAGAGGATAAGAAATCCATAAAGAAGAGAATTAAAGAGCTGAAGGTGCTCGATCCAAAGATTGCACAGAATCTGTGTAAGTATTTGTTTCCTTTCTATCTACTCCTAAAAAAAGGCAGATTTATATACATTTATAGAGAGATTTGGTATGCTTTACACCTTAGCATGTTGCTATGGCAATTAATACACACAGACAGTTCATGTGAACCTGGCCTTTGCCACATATGACTCATCTCTTCACACGGACCTAATTAACAACGTTAAAGATCCATTAAGGAAAGAAGGAAAAAAGAACTTCTCTCTCTTTCTTCCTTCCCTCCCTCCCTCATCTCTCTCATGCATTCACACACGCATGCTTGGTCTGAAAATGACGGTTTAAAAAACACCCGGCATTAATGAGGATCCAGCTGATCTCTTAAGCACTCTCAGATCTTAGCACCTCATTGGCTTATATCACATGGAGCTGTGACCTTTGTTTCACGTATTAAAAGAAAATGAGTCTAATCAGCCCAGTAACAGTGATAAATCATGCAGCAGAAATTAGAGAGCAAGGGGGAGGGGAAGGGGGAGTTGGTGGTTTATGTGGTCCACCATAGGAGGTAAAGAGTCTAAAAGCTTTGATTGAGGTTTTAGAAGGACTGAGAAGGGGTTTTATTTCTGTTTTATTTCTGTTACTTGATTGATGCCATCACTGTTAAGATACTGAGATACAGTGCAAATTTATTCTGCCTAATGAATTGTACTAAAATTTTCTCATTACCAGTTACAGCCGGGAGCTTATATCACAGTCGTGTCACATTTTACGTATGCTTTAAGAAGAGAAGGGCTAGTTTGTCAGTAAAACCTCAACCTAATATATACAGGTTTAAAAAAAAAAAAAGATTCATCATTTATTGGACGTGTGTTTAAACTTCAGTTTAATCCTTGCACATGCTGTTTCTTTTTAATTCTTCTCAGTTATGTACTGTGTAGTAGTTGGCCTCCTGAAGTCCTGTGGGACAATTGGATACGTGCTCGTGGTTGTCGTCTGTGGTGCTCGAGAGGCGCCTCTTGTGACTGTAAAGTCCCATGCGGGAGTTGAAGTCCTTCTGGTCCTGTTCACAGGAATAAGAGATGACTAGTCTTTTAAGCTGACTTTTTTAGGCCATTTTCTCAAACTGTTGTCTTTTAAAGCCCTGCAGGGCCTTCTGGATTTCAAGCTGCAGGTGTTTCTGTCTCTTTGTAGCTTTAAAGTCAAGTGAACGCACGTCTTTGTAGCATAGCAATCCTGTTGGTTGTCCACACAGGAGATCTTTGGTGAGGCTGCTATCCCTTTATATGATACTTATGCCAGGGATAGAACATGCCTGGGCAACTTGTCTTTCCAAGAGTTGCAAAGTACTAAGCAAACACACCACTATAAAAAGATTTCCTGGTGAGTCTGTGTGTATACTTTTTGGGGTTTTTTTTGTCCATCTTCATTTCATCAGGCTTGCCAGGTGGTTTTCAACACCATGTAGGGAGGTCTCTCTCTAGGCACAGGGTGTCTGTGAAACAGCACACTGAGGGATATGAATTCATGGATGGGCTCAGGTTTTTGGGATTCTATGGTGATATGAGAGGATATCTTGGTTCATAACATTTGTCTTTGTAACTTGATTGTTACGCCAAAGTTGGTGCTCAACCTGAAATAAAAAGTTATTATTTCTGTCCCCACAACTTTAAAAATGATTTAACCCAGTAGAGCAAAAAAGTGTGCAAAACAAAAGGTACATTCTCGTTTTCAAAAGTTCATGCTCTCCTGTATATGCATAATGTAATGTTGTAACATACTTCACATACACACTTACATGCAGAACACTCCAAAGTGTTCAACCTAAAACATGCTCAATAATTTTAAATGATTTTTTTAATGTGTTTCTGCTTGTGAGACTAATAACTAGCCCTGACGAGGCATGCACCGTACCTTTGCTAGTCCTAACTCTTGCTTGAAAATATCATGGTTGCTAAGCCAATACATTTAAAATTAAAATCATTTTTTTAAAGACAGAAAGAAAAAATGAAGACATCGCTGGCTGAGTGGGTCAGACTAACCTGTTTCATAAGATTTGTGTGTACTGTTTTATTTCGCATTGTTCTTTTTTGTGTGTGTTTGGTTGTTTTTTCTGTTCTTTTATGACCAACTGTCTCATATCTCAACATTACAGCTCAGCTGTCAATCTTTTCTCCATTTGCCACATCTCTCCCCCCCTCCCACCTGTAGCCATCTTCCTAGGCTCCTTCCGCATCCCTTATCAGGAAATTCGACGCATGATAGTGGAGGTCGATGAAGAGCAACTCTCTGAACCTATGATCCAGGTATGCTGTTTAATGAAGCCATAGAGCCTCCGTGGATGACTTTCTCGTTCCACCCAACTCTGGACCTAGCTAGCTGTGAGATAAAAGAGAAAAAAATATTGAAACTAGTCAATGCTCAACTTTTCACCTTGAGGCTAGAAGTATATTTTTAGTTTTGCCCTTCTCCTACTCAGCTGGTCAGGTTCAACTCTTTGTCTATTGTCTTGATTAGTTGTCTATCTTAAAACAGCATGTAGCCCAAGGCTAAAGCGTTGGGCATCTGTAAAGCCTGCAGTACAGCAGGTGTGGAAACAGTTGGTGAGCACAGGCAGTATGTCAGTAAAAAATAAATAAGCACTTTGCTGATGTTTAGCTGAATTTTTTTTTGTTTTGTTTTTTTTTGTTTGTGTTTATAAGTGCTTTACCAGCTTTTTGGCTATAACTTCAATGTGTTTATGCCATCTGTATACCTCACACTTGGCACTGACTTACTCTGTTCATCCAATCCATCTGTCTGTCCTTCCATGTATGTGTCAATCTCTGTTTTTCTATCTTAACAACAATTCAATGGACCAGTGTGGTTCATTTCAGTTGTATCTACTGTATAAAGCTACATAGTCTTTGCTTGGTAATAAGATATTTTATCATAGTAACAAAGCTCACCACATGGCTGAAACACACCAACAGAGACAACGCCAAACAGAACAGCAGCAGGTTAGCTGTCTGTAAATTTCTGTATATCCTTCCCGCTTCTCACTCCCTTTCTTCCCTTTCTTTGTAGAACCTTGTAAAGCACCTACCGGAGCAGGAGCAGCTTAATGCGCTGGCCACATACAAAAATGAGTACTCTAATTTGTCAGAGCCTGAGCAGTTTGGGGTTGTGGTGAGTACACACAAATGTACAACACACACAAACATCTGTCAACTTCCCACCAACTACAGATATACAGCACAAAAATGACCTTTCCTTTATATTTCCTTATTTATTGCCGGAAGACCTCAGACAGTGTGCCTATTATCGTTGACGATGCTATTAAACACAAGTGTATTAAGAATTAAATAGTTTATCAGAGCCAAAAAATGCATATTTGGTGTAATAAAACGTAATATTTGAATGTTTTAGTCAAGTAAACTTGTCTTGTATTCTTTCTCGGCGTCTTATTTCAATGAAAACACACACAGAGAACACTTTCATGTAATTATCATAATCCTGAGCTCTTTAAAATTCTATCTTTTAAAGCCTTAAGAGGAAAGATGGGACACCTGTGGACTGGTGCACTAATTTATGCACACTAAAGAGCAGCACTTCTGCCTCATTATGTCAGCATCATTTTCTTAAAGACTTTTCAAAGGAGGTTTAGTCAGAATTATGCATGAGAGGTGTCATTTATGTATTTTTATTTTTCTACCTAGCGACCACCTTATGGACAAAAACATAACTCATCTTTTGTATCTTGTTCAATGAGGAGACGAGAAAAAAGGAGAGCCTGCTTATATAATGAGGTTGTGCTACTCGTGTGGGCCCACAAAAGCTCAGGTTCAAAGGGATTTTTTTAATGTACTTTTTTAATATTTACCATTGTGTAAACATTCACTTTTTTATTTTCAGTCAACACCACTTTCAATTGATCTTTAACTCAGCCTTGTGCGCAGTAGTATTTTGTTTTCAGGTCTGTCTTGCCTGTTGTAAAAGCTTAACACAAGGTCACCACCATAGTTGCTGAGTATTCCTGCAGCTACGTGAATAAGTTCACTGTTCTTTGTGACAGTAAGTTGAGGAACTAAAGCGCTTAATCTCAAAATATAAATTTCCACATAACTCATCTATATCAGTCAATGAAAGCATATTTTAATGTCTTTAACAGAAGCCATATGCATGCCTGTAATTTTTTGTAAATCACTTGCAGTTAATGATTATTCCGCATCACTCCTGAAATCTGAGGAATGTTTATTAGTATGTGCATTCTGCTGGCTGAGCTGTAGTTAAAATCCTCGGGACTAATGCTTTTTTCATCTTTGATTTTATTTGTTGTTGACAGTTGATGGGAATATTTATTACATGCAAGTTTTCAAAATATTTACTATAGAGAGAGAGAGGGGGGGGAGAGGGAGAATCTTTAAATTCAGTGTTAATGTTCTGACACTTCAGATAAGGATATCAACAGAGCTGTCTTTTCCTTCTCACTATCACCTCATGGAAATAGTGTTTGGCAGTAAATGAGCTAGATTTTCCATAAGTCCACTCTTTTGTGTGTGTGTGTGTGTGTGTGTGTGTGTGTGTGTGTGTGTGTGTGTGTGTGTGTGTGTGTGTGAGAGAAACCATCTCCTCAACTTGTCAGTATAACCTCCCAGTGCCCTGTGTAGGCCAGTGGGAGCAGCTGCACACATTCAATTTGCAGATGATCCGGTGTGTTTTGCTCCATTTCTTCTTTTTCTGATTATTTTTTTCTCGTTTAAATATCTTTATCACATAATTCATCCCATCTCTGGGGTTCGTTTCAGCATTATGTTTTGTTCGTGTGGACCTTGCTTTTTCTTAATTCTGTTATATAATTCTATTCCTCTTTTTTTTGTTGCCCGCCCTCTCCTTTTATGTGCGACAAATACACGGACACAAAGTGCACACAGACCAGCACACACTGACTGAAATAGTCATTTGATAACATTACAGTAGCTATAATTAAACCCTTGATGGAGGACATCAAACCGCACAGCCAGCTGTTGTGTGAAACAGACAATTGGAACCTGCACCCCTCCCTCCCGCCGCACACACATACACAATCACTGTGTCGGCCAGGTCCTGGGCCCAATGCAATATTTTCCAATTTTCTCTAATTGTGTGAGAGTGGTAATCCAAGGCAGCCTATTGTATATTCCACCCCTCCACTGCCTGCCCTATATGGACACTAACTCCACAATTAACTTACCAGACCTGGGTCCCAAATCAAATCACTGCCAGCATCTATTACTACTGCCTAGCAACACTTTCCAACATGCTGGTTGCATAAATGTCTTTTAAATTAGATCGTCTGAATGTGAGAGTGTGTCAAATGTGTTATTGTAGTTATTTTAAGTTTGACTGTTCTTTGATGTGGTTTGCTCTCCTTGACATCATTTCCCATCCTTTTCTCATCTCCTTCCTCATTCTCTTTTCTCCGAATCCCTTTTCCCCCTACTATCCCTTTTCCATCTATGCCTTCTTGTTTTCTTGTTTCCACCTTGACTTTGTTGCCTCCCCAGATGAGCAGTGTGAAGCGGCTGCGTCCTCGCCTCAGCCACATCCTCTTCCGGCTTCAGTTTGAGGAGCACGTAAATAATCTGCGACCAGATATTCTGGCCGTAAATGCCGCATGTGATGAGGTCAGGAAGAGCCGCTCCTTTGGCCGCTTATTGGAGCTGGTGCTACTACTGGGGAATTACATGAATGCGGGCTCTCGAAACGCCCAATCATATGGCTTTGACCTGAGCTCCCTTTGCAAGGTAAGGGTTGAAATGCTGACCCTAATTTCAACTGTTCACACACAGTTTGTAGTCAGTCATCCCTTCAGTGTCAAATGTTCAACAGGAGTGATGCTAGTTCAATAAACTTTCTCAAGAGATACACAGCTGTGTTTGCAGTCAGAGTTCTGTAACAGAAATATAATTTATTTTTTACTGACCTCAACTAAATGATTTTTTAGGCCTTTAGTTGAAGCTAGCCTGATAGATTCTCCTTATTTTCATTATTGCGCTCTCATTTTATGTCCTCAAAAACCTTGAGTTAAAATGGTCATTTCCTATATGGATTGCTTTTTTCTGCCAAATGTACAAGCCAAGAGCGTTAACAGTGATTAGACTAAAGAAAGAATCGGTATACATTATGGGATTTATGTATATCTGTGTCTGTACCAGACACTACGTGTAGCGGTGTCTCTCTCTTTGGTCACCTTGTCTGAGCCTTATCAGTAAACTGATCCAAAGCAGCTGCTGTAATGAGACATTTTATTTTAAACCATTTCATTTGATTGAACACTATCAGAGTTTTCGTTATCATCTGGCCTCTATCAAAGCATTTAAGCCCACCGAGTACTTTAGTCTCATTCTTCTGCCCAGAAAAGATAACTGAAACTCAAACCACTATCCCTTTTGAAAGTTCACACAACTTCGCCGTAGCAATACTAGTGCTTCTTGGACAGAGACGTATCCAACACCTGTAACTCAGGATTTTATGCGGCATGAAAACAGAACATGAAGTTTGTAATAGTGACGGGAAGAATGGGGTGCAAGTCTCCTCCAGTGGTTACATTACAGCTGTTGGCACACCCACTGCAGTTTCCACAGTAACGAGCACTGCTGTCATTTGTCACTGCCACCTCTTTACCCTCCTAGACTTGGATGCTGATGTTCATATAAATACAAGTACAAAGGCAAACACTTGTACGAACATGATGGATTAGATGCATTAGGACAACAGTAATATCAGTTAATAGGAGACTGTTAAGGATTTAAAACAGTAGTTTCTTTTGTCTGCGTATGTTGTCTGAAGGAAGGTTTACGTTGTCACGGGCAGGATATATAGAGGAAGACATCTCCTTCGCGCCATACCCAGAGTTTGACAACTTAATTCCACGGCACACTCCACAGCACAGGAAAATTGCATCCATCCCAAATGTAAAAGGCAAAATGTTTACATTGTCATCTACGATTACCATCCATCTAAATTCAAAGAGGGACCTTTTGTGAGTGAGCACTTGCAGCTTTTATTAAAAAAAAAGGGGGGACTGGGGAACAGAAATGAAAAGAGAGATGAGAATGTTTGATTAGAGGAGATAATACAAACATGATTAAACCCAGCGGGTCTGAGTACACTGCTGTCTACCAATAGATCACCTAGAGAGATGCACTGCAACACACTCTGCAGGAGGCATGTTTGGCAGGGATGCTGATAGACATCTTGGAATTAGCCTGTTTAATAAAAAAGGAAGAAGAACAAAGAAATGAGAAAAAAATCAATGATGGAAATTTATCAGGGAAATATAAAATATTTGTTACTTTTGGCAATAAATGGGCACCAAGTGCAGGGAGCAGGAACACATCTGCTACGTAATCACGAGACATAAAATCATGTGTGGCACTGTTAACACTCAGCATTTGTTAAGCTAGAGCTCAGAACTGCTTTGAGTAAGTACAGTAGATGAAGGACAATGACTTCTTTTTCCAATTACCAGACAGCATATTTAGCTACATTAGTACTTCTGATTTCAAGCATGAGTACGTCGAGCCCTGTGCTGAACCTTGTTTTTTGTTGCTGTTAGCATTAATCACAAAAAATGATCTAGGGAAAAGTGCACTTCTAACAGTAGTTTGTAGCTCTATTGCAAATTAGCTGCTCACCTACATCACATTAAACAACATGGAGACGCACCTTTGATGCTGCTTTCACCCTTCTTACTGAATAGCAAGTGAGCTCTGTACACATGTAGGTAGGTGTGCAGGTTTTCATCAACTAGTGATGCACTCACTTACCCAACTGACTAAGAAAAGAGCAATTTATTAAGCACCTGTCTTGCATTTAATAAATGGTAAATGGCCTGTATTTATATAGCGCTTTTCTAGTCCCTAAGGACCCCAAAGCGCTTTACATATCCAGTCATTCACCCATTCACACACACATTCACACACACATCTTTCACCCCTTTTAACTAGGGTATCCACAAAGTGTGGTTTTCATTTTGCAGCTCAAAATGCATGTGTATCATGATTCCTGCCATAGCGACGAATACTGTGAAACTAAGGCCAAAAAGATGTTGTTTACGTACCATACCCAATTTCTGTTATTATATGTTTCAACAAAAACGTTCTTTGACTTTGCCCATCAAAAGTAAAAATTGCATCTGGTTTAAATTTGTCTGATGTACCTTTTAATTAAGGGTCGGGCCCTTGTGAAGGGGCGCACCGCCTTTCGGCACTCTTGCAAAGATTTGATCGCTCCCTGAAAGCCCCTTTCTAACAACCTGCATTTGTGTATTCGCAGTGCGTGTGCTTCTGTTGTGTCAAAACTGAAAATGTGTTACAAAGCAGCAGTGCGCTCAACTCTGAATCCTAAACATGCATACGTTGCCTGGTCTAAATAAAATGTGAAAGCACACAGCATAGCGGCACGCATACTTCCTAACACGTATTAACTATTAAGACGAACGTGTTTCATCTGTAAGCTGACATCAGGACAAAGTGGGGTGCGCAGTGAGTGATGATTGTGTTTTAAATGCGCTGCGGTGAGGTGCGCAACTCTTGTCACCTGTGATGATCTTCAGTCTAGACATGCACAAGATTTCCAGGAGCAATTCAGATGTAACAGGAGCACCGGCAGCGCTGCATTTCAGAATCAAATGACCTTGAAAGAGAGAGAATTTAAATTTAAATTGGCTAAGGCTTTTGTATTTATGTGCAGACTTGGAAAAACTTTTTGATCCTACCTCGTATAGATGTAGCCTTCTAAGGGCTGCTAACAAAACCCCGGCGTTGACCGCATTTTTGAACCAGAATTAGATCCAAGAGGAAGAGATGATTGCATGCAGTTGTCTTACCACTTGTTTATTTATTTTTTTAATGTATTTTTTCAATTTTATGTTGTTATAGATGGATGTACTTAGATATATTTCTAACTGTGCTTGTGCTGGATAAATCATGCTGTTTACATTACTGAGGGTGATTTAAATGTTGAATATGGGTTGTGCGCACTTCTCCATAAAGTGAGTGTTTTAGACCTGCTTTATACTCTAAAAAATGATGAATATCCTAACCTTTAAATTATGGAACCTTTAATATGGCAGGTATATATGGTGTGTTAGAGAAACATGACATAATTTCTGACTTAAAGTAAGACAGATTCATCAGATTCAAGCATGCAAACACATTTATTTAGCAAGTGAACAGTGTGTGTGCTTAACAGGGTTAGACCTAACCTGTGACATTTTCAATAACACAAACTCTGAGCAACATGCAGAGTCACTTTTCCCCTGTTAGAGCATTTTTTTTGCCCTGTGTATACGTTTTATTTTTCAATTTATTTTATTATTAAATTTGTTGTATTATTTACTTATTATTAAAAAAGCCACATAAATGCATATTTTATGTGTCCATGTTTTACAGCTAAAGGACACCAAGTCAGCAGATCAGAAGACAACCTTACTTCACTTCCTGGCACAAGTATGTGAGGACGAATTTCCAGACGTGGTCAAGTTTCTTGACGACCTAGAGCATGTGGATCGAGCAAGCAGAGGTAATATTCTTAAACACCAAGATGCAAAAACTTCTCAACTGTACATAATAAAACTGTTATTGGACACTTGTGATATATTTTCTAAGTCTCTAAAAGCACTTTTTTTTATACAGTACAGAAGCCATTTTTCACCTGTTTACCAGCATGTAAGAGTCAGCTGCTACTTGATAATTTTAACACTCTCTACCTTCCACTTTCTCTGAGGTGATATCACAGTGCTGCTGTTATTTTGGTCCCCTGCTGTCAACCCAAGGTTTTTAGCTCTCCCATGGTTGCATGGTTTGAGTTTCATCTACTTCCTAGCTGAGATATTTCTAGTGATGTTTAACAGCAGAGATTTGGCAACTGGTCTTAATTGGTCATCTAAGATAAGAGTTACTACGAGGAAGCAATGGGCATACAAACTATTAACTTTTTTGATATTTTCTTTTCTGCAGTTAAAGTAAAAGAAGAAAAGGGTAATGATGGCATAATCTGTCCATGCATCTAAGCATGCTTAAATGTGAAGACTGAAGAATCTATTTAGAAAATGCCTGATATGTGATTGTGGCAATTAAGCACTTGATATAATAGTGATGATCTGGATGATAGTAAATGATAGGAGCGCTCAACCTCATTAGATAATGTGATATGGGCTTATGTTTTCACCTTTTGTCTTGCTAATGTGGAATTTACCATCTCACCTTACCTGCCCGATGTCCCTCGCTCACTCGCAGCAGTTATTATCATGCATTGGTTCTTGCCATGATTAACTTAGACTTTCCCCTCTAGATCATTTTTCATACCCCTTTAGTGACTTTATTTTCCAAAAAACAAACACCAGAAACACCTATAGACAGAAATGCATGAATCCATGAAACCCCTCTCTCCTGGTCTTCTCCGTTCAGTGAGTGACAACAAGCGGCAGTACCTCTCAATAAGATGTTTGCACATGTGCAGTGTTGTTTTTGTGGCTTGTTAGCCAGAAGGAGGATGCCCACTGAGAGAAAAGAAAAATAAGAACGACATACTGACACATACTGATTCCTCACCGAGTCATCGTTATCTAAGCAAATGAATACAGGACTACTGCACAGCTATTGTCTTAGGCTTTTGCCTGTTGATTTTGTTAGGTGACATTGTGATTATAATGTGTGATACATGTCTGTTGTTTATCTTAAATGATATTTCACTAATATAAAAAGACATTAGATTAGTATTATTTAGTTTGATATTGTCCTGTTTGTTTTTTGTTTTTTAATAATATATGATCATAAGCAATGAAAGCTTGGCATCAGAAGGGCTACCTATACAGTGTTACCTAGAAAGAAGTGGAACATTCGTATGCATTCCTTTGTTTTACTTTGAGTTTTACTCTTAGCTTTCTGCTTCTGTTGCTCTCTCAGGGGATTGGATGTTTGTTGATTCTGTAAACATACGTTGTATTTTATCATTTTCATGTTTGATCTGTGCCACAGTCATCTCATGTGCACCGCTGTTTGATACAAACATTAATCATCTTCTGTGGCATATCTTCAGGTTTGATGGCTTATGTTTTAGGTCATGTCTGTGACTGGGATTAAAAACATTTTTAAGTCTCTGTGTTGCTTTGAACAGAAATTGGCTGTATTGCACAGGTGTGCATGCAAACATGGGTACACACAAGTACAGAAGAAGTGCTTTGAGTGGCCAGCGTCTGTATAGTGTTGTAAAGGTCACAGCCAAGCAGGGACAGACTCAGTGGTCGGAGGAAACTCAGGCATGTCCTTTGTTCATATTGCCACAGGCAATTCACAGGAAGAAGCAGTTAGCCGCTGCCAATGTACGGCTTGTGTGTGTGAGGTCGCACTGTCACAGCGTGTTTCCTCCTGCTCTAAAGAAGATTTTACCCACTGCTCCATTCTCAGCAGGAGGGAGTGTAGGAAGGTGTGAGGAGGAGAAAACATAGGAGGATGAAATGAAATGTGTGACTCTTTTTTTTTTTTTTTTTTTTTTTTTGGGTTTGTTTGTTTGGACTCCGCTCATCATAAAGATTTCAATTTTTTCCCCCCTTGTTTTGGCGCTTTGATAATCTGTAGATAAAACACTCGACAGTAGTGTTGTTATTTCTCCCAACTGTGCTGTGTGTCCAGAAGGCTTTGGCCACGATGCAGAAGTACAATGGCGAGATCAAGGGAGAGCACAGTCCTTGGATCTCTCTGCAGGTTTTCTCTACCTCTTTACTTCACTGGCCTCAAGCTGAGTTTATTTGCATCTATATAGATATGGACTGCTTTCTGTGCTTCTGTCTTTCTTTATGATTCTATAAGCTTAGGAGATGCATGCACCGTCTAATCTCTTCACATATTATATCCAGACACACAGATCCTGTCTCTAAGCCGTGCTGGTGAGTGGCTTCCTTTTCATCGGGTCTGACAACTACTTGATGGGCATGTACTCAGACTAAAAGGCTGCATTGCATTCATATACACTAGCCAAAGAGCTTACTTGAGCATGAAAACAAGGTTGAGCAGAGGTAGCAGTAATGATATGTTCTTCCTTTGTAAATGGTGCTGTCTTTAGACTGTAACACAACCCTTGTTTCCCACTCTGCCAGTCCTGTACTTCAGTTCAGGGATCCTTTCTTTCTGTCTTATCATTTTTGCCAATTCTCTTCTTTTTAGACCTATAATCATTTCTCCCCCTGATATTGAGATGCACTCAGTCCCTGCTGCTTCACTCTATCAGTTTGCATGTATCTCTTTAACTGCCTGTCAATATTCGTCTATCGGTCCCCGATTGTTGCTCGGTCTGGTTCTTGGTCTTTGGGTTTTGCTTGCAAGCTCTTTTTGTTTTAACTTCTTTTGCCTGTCACACCCGCAAACAGACACACACTTATAATAGACAGCAGCCGATTTGAGCAGTTAGGGCGGCTTGTTGAGTGATACTCGGTGCTGAGTTTGAAGTTGAAAGCAGACAAATACGGAGACATGTTAATGTGCTCAACCACTCTACTTCAGCTTGCAGCTTCAAAAACCGCCTGTCAGCAACATAAATGCTGTTTACTACTACGTACTGCTAAAAAGCATGTCTGCATTAGTAGAACTATGGATGTATGTGTAGTGAAAATGGAAAAGCTGTTCTGGTTATGGCCCTGGGGAATCTTTAATCAGTAACGCAACGATTCAGCTACACTGAGATGGCTCTCCAAAAATACTGTTCAAGCTTTGTTTTCTAGTTTTGTTTCATGCAGTCTAAACAATGAGCCTCAGGTTGAAAGTACTTAAAATGAGGGCTCTACAGTGCATTTTAATGTTAGTCCTGCACTGTTTTAAAGTGGTTCTGTAGATTGTACATTTTCAGATTCACCAAAACATCAGGCTTTTGCGTCAATTTTTTTCTCTCTCTCTTAGAATCCATTATATCAAAGGTGCTTATACAGTGACTGTGTGTGCGCCGGGGCTGTTTGTGGCTTGCATGCTCTACTCTTTCTCATTTATGGCATAGCAGGTTAGCAGACTAATAAAAGGATGTCAGTGGATTTTGACCTCCACAAATATTTCAATTGTTCTTCTTCCAAAATAGCTTAGATCTGTCTCCGACTCCTCTGCACCAAAGAGACATTCAGGCCCCACTGCTCATAAAAATCACTCACACATAAATGCACAGAATAAGAAATCAAGTGCAAAGTGGTCAGTGAGAGAAAAGAAACATTTCCTACTGTCATTTCCTAAGTCTTGAGTTGTATACGGCTGACGTAAGCCTCTTCTGTTTTGAAACACATTTCTGTGTGTTTTCTTTAAAGTGAAGGATCCGATAAAAGCCAGTTTTCTCCTGAAGCATACTGTATCCCTGATTCACATATAGTCTGCCTCATCTTGAGTACTCTGTGGCTGGAGTGATGACACTCTATTGTTGCATTAAGGCAGATGACCTGTGGTGACATATGCAAGGCCTTATTTGCACGTACTGTGTAGAGATCCATCATAGTTCTTAGTTCTTCTCCTTGCTTTTTGCCCCGTGCAGAGCACCTTCACTGAGACATGTTGGTTCTATTTAGTATTTCTATTGTTGGATAGCAGCATTAAGTAAGTGTCTCCTGTTTGTATTATCCAAAGTACCCAGTGTCCAAAGTATATGGATCTAATTATGTGTTAGATTCTGTTTCTCTCGTAGGATAAATAATATAAAGTTCCTAGGTTTTCATGCATATACCCTTTTGTGTGAGGTTGCTTCTTCACAAAAGCCTGCAGATTGCAAAGCTAAGAAAAGATGAGATTCCTTTTTTGTTTTGCTTTTGTCTTGCCCTCCCTTGCTCCTTTCTCAGTTACCGCATCATCACAGGGCTTTAATCATTTCTATTAACAGACTGCCTGTCTGGCCTCTTTCCTCGTCTGAATGCTGCCCACACCTTCTTCAGGCGATTTTGGTTGCCTGGTAATGCACTGAGCTTTCAGGAGAAAAGGATTTAGAGTCAGATTATAATTGTTTATTCACTTTTTTTTATATGTAGCCACACTAATCATACTGGGTGTATGGATCATTTTTAGATTTCTCATTAGTTAATACACTGACAGAGCCAGCCAGAATTTCTGTAAAAGAGCTCGGACGCAGCACCATCTAGGGGCAACTGTCTATTTTTATTTTGTTTCAATTATTATGGTTCAATTATTATCAGTAAAACTTTCTACATAACTAATTCTGTATCTGCACTCACTGAAAACTTTATTAGGTACACCTTAGAAAAACTGGGTTGGAGTGATCAGAACTGTCTTAGTTCTTCATAACATAAATTAAACAAGGTCCATGTTGACATTCCACCATCACACAGTTGCTTCAGTTTGTTGGCTGCACATCCTTGATGAGAATCTCCTGTTCATCACATCCCAAAGGTGCTCTACTGGATTAAGATCTGGTGAATATGGAGGCCAAGAAAATGTGCCAAGAGCAACCTGAACCGTTGATAAAGGCAGGATAGATCTGTGCTTTCATGTTGTGGATGTCTAATTCTGACCCTACTGAGTGTTGCCTGAGACCAGGCAATGTTTTTCTAATCTTCTATTGTCCAACTGTGGTAAGCGAGGGTCAGTTGAAGCAGTTGTTGCTTTTCTGCATGTCTTGGTTGTAACAAGTGATTATTTGAGTTCTTGTTAGCTTGAAACAGTTGTGGCACTTTCCTTTGACCTCTTGCATTACTGAGGCTATTTCACTGAGAGAATTACTGGATATTTTGTTTATTCCAACCATTTTTTGTAAACCTGAGAGATGGTTGTGTCTTAAAATCCCAGCAGATCAGCAGTTTTTGACACCAACCTGACTAACCGTGCCACATTCAAAACCACTTTAATCACCTTTCTTCCCCATTCTGATGTGGTGGCCATGTCTACATCTCTAAATGCATTAAGTTGCTGCCATGTGACTTAATATTTTTGTGTTCTCTGAGGTAGTGCTTTGATTGTGTGATCCTGTGAAAATAACACGTTAAATTCATTTCAAAGACCAGCAGCACTGATGCTTGCTGCAGAAATTCCAACATTAACCATAATTTTATTACTAGCTTTAGCCACCACCTGCTAACTTAATAATAATCTAACAGACAGCTAATGTGGCTACTTGGTAGCTGCTAAAAGTTAAACAGTCAATGTGTGTGCTAGCCACTAGATTACCATTTATAATAACTATTGAACACTTTAATGTCGTTGAAGGGGGAGTCTTCAAGTTTTCAAAAAAAGTATTGGCAGGTGCCATGTGCCCATCTGTGTGCAGGATGCTGTGTGAGGGCCAAGACAGCACTGTTAGTATCAGTACTGTTGAAAATGAGAATCTAATCTGATAGTAAGTTTTAATGTTGATTAGTATCTGAGTAGTAGGTACAGGATTGAAAATGAATTAACAAAGTAGCTCCTTTTCTATAGTAATCACAGCAATTGGCCTATGATTTATGCACAGGAGAGTTGTTTCAGGATTTAAAAAAATAATAATCATTAGTGTCCCATAAGGTGTCACTTCCTAATAACCATTTTAACTCTTCCAGAAGTCAGAGATAGGAATATTTTTCCTCCACATTGCTACAGTTCTCCTCAAAGATACATTAATTCATACTTAAAGAGCCTTCTGCCTTTTTTACTGTCCATAAAAACAGGATGATTTCTTTAAAAGAATTGCAGAGCAGTTGCTTTGTGAAGGCGGCTCTGATGGAGATATTATTAGTCACAATCTACTTTTGAAGCAAGAGTTTTAAATGTCTGCTCCTTTAAAGCTTTTGACTGACCGCAGGTATCATTGCAGGCATACAAGTAAGAGATAAAAGAAGGAAGAAAGAAAATTAAAATCCAAAAATCGATAAAGTGAAAATGCATTCAGGACAATCTAAAACACGCGACGAGTAAAAAGTACTCTTTAGCTGCGGTGTTACTGAAGTGCACTCAGTCTTCTTTCTCAATTAGAAGTAACAGGTTGAAAAGTGCCACCTGCCTTTTCCTCTCAGCACGCTGAAAGCATAAGCTGGTAATTTGTACATTTCACGAGTGTGGACATTCACATGTTCACACATACACTCTGTTAAACTTCAAATGAAAAGCACAACTTCAGTAATGCAAACTTTGTAGAATATTAGGAGTCAAGATGTCTGAGAGAACATGTGTGTGAATCCAAGATGGTAGGTTCCCATCAGGAAATGGGTTTATGCTCTAAAGTCAGAGGAAAGCTTAACTACATTGAAGTCTTTCTCTTTTTTTTCTTTTCATAAAGCATGTATTAGGATCAAGGGAAATTTGAAACTACTTAAAATTAAGCAGCTTATGCCTTTTTGTCAAGTGGGGTCTAATCGGGGTAATTTAAGCCATATGCTATATTCAGTCACTAGCTTAAAGTGTCAGCCATGACCAACTTAGCAGAAAGTTAGGCTTCACGTTCCACTGCTTTCCAACCTGCATGATCCATGCACCTGTTGATAAGACTAAAGTCCAAGGATTAATAGAATAGAAAGATATTAACTCAATCAGCCACACCTTCATGCATTCAGGGTGTGCAGTACTGCTGTATCTGTTGCTATGTAATGCACAGAAGTCACACTTACCGAGTAAATGTAAAGCCTTGTGTTCAAAAATGCTGGCGACACAATGTTTTGAAAATTTAAATCGTGTATTTAATTGTGAACAGTGCAAAGAGATAAGACTGCGTTATCTCTATGAGCCACGGTTGCCCCGTGGCCTGCTTTACTAACTAACTAATTCTAATTCTGTGTAAAGTTAAAATGATTTGAAAATAACTGGATTCAGTGTTTAGTTTCCTGAAATGTTGAAGGACAAAACTTTGGGAAATACGATTCCATATTTGGACTCTTGATGCGACTTCTCCGTAATACTGACTGCACGATGATGGCTGATTGAGTATTTCAACATCAAGTATCACAACACCGAGTATTAACATAGCAGTCATTTGCTTTCACTACAGTGACGGCGAGGGTATTGTATTTTAATATTAGGTTGTTTACCGCAAGCACACGACCGTGAGGAAAACAGAATAACGAGCAGTTATGTATTAAACATACTTTCACTTGATGCTTATATTTTGTCATTGTTTATTCCCACAGTGTTTTGGGCACAGTGTGAACTCATAATAAGTCTGCTTTGCGATCGAGCTGGCTTCTCTTTCATTTTCCCTGTTGTTTTGTTATTGTGCGTTGTTTTTCTGATTCTTCCAGTGCTTGAAAATAATAATGCATTTGATTGTACCTTTAATTGAGTTGTCCTCACATGTGCTTTTATGAGTGTATGTATGCGCGTCTGAAAATATGTGGGTGTGTGTCAGTGTCTGCAGAGAATCTGGAAAAGAGCCTCAGGCAGATGGAGAGGCAGCTGCTGCAGCTGGAGAGAGACCTGGAGACTTTCTCCTCCTCCGATGACCCCAACGACATGTTTCTTACCAAAATGGCTATATCCTTTACACGTGTATGCATAGGCTCATCTCTGTGGGCCATCATGCAGTGAGTTACAGTAATGAACTCTTCACAAAGACAGAAGAATATCACTGAATGTGAATTTTATATCTTTACAGTAAGTCACAGTGGTGCTGTGTAGGCTGGTTATGGAGCAGGTTTCAGGTTTAATTAACAAGTTAAACCTAACATCAGGAAAAATGGTAAAGACTTCTCAGATATTTAACATGTGGTGTGTCTTATTAAATGATATGACCTGTGTGAAACGTGGTTAAAAAATTTTTTGGCTCAACTTCACCTACTTTCAGTGAGTACAAAGATGTGGACAAGTCTTTTATAGTATAAATAACTTTATTTATTGCTTCTATGTACATCTGTAAATGAGGCATCGCGTGCTTTAAAGTGAAATGGCAGATGTGGACACTATACGGACAGAGGTATTAGGCTATTTACATATTATACGTACAGCAGTTATTATGACTGTATATGCATCTAGTTTGCAGTCTAAATTCATATAAATTTGACCCACACTTTCTGGGAAGGCTTTCTATGGAAGTCATTGCCTGGTTATTCAGAATAGCACTGGTAAGGTGAGAGGCGGATGTTGAAACTCATCTGACCACATCTGACTTTATAAACCTTACTTGTGCATCGTGGCATAGTCACCCTGGAAAATAAAAGGGCCTTTTCCAAACTGCTCCCACAAAGTTGGATGCACAGAATTGTCCCAAATGTCTTAATAAGATAAATGTTAAGATTTCCCTTCACTGGATATATAGCTATCCTATTTAAAAGGTCTGTGATATGTTTTATGGTGACCCATGATGAAGACCATAAGCCAAAAACCTTTGGTCATGGAGTAAATTTGTTCTTTATACTACAAGTATTTATATACTTTTGAGATCACACAAGATGCAAGGAATGGGGTGAAATGGAGGCAAATGATCCTCTCAGCCAAAAGGAGGAGGAAAAAAAAAGGTAATAATATGCTTTTAAGTAGAAAGGGAGAGAAGAATATACAGTCCTCCCACCCATCCTCTCTTGGTTTCCAGTGATGTGCAGAAGTGATGAGTGGCATCCCATTCTGCAGTCAAGTTTTGTACCAGTACCCCTCTTAGCTGCTTTTGAAGTGTACTTAAGACTGAGGCTATCTTCAAAATCAAGAGAGAAGCTAAAGAATGTGAATTATGTTGCGTTTGACTTTCTGTCTTTTGTTTTCAAAAGCCACAAATGTGTAATTTCTTTTTACCATTTGTCTGCCCACGTGGGAAATTGAAGTCCATTGCTGACATCGGTCTACATTTTGTTTGACAGCAGTGTAAATGATTCATTGTCTTCTGAGGTAGTTCTAGAGGATCAGGTTGACAGGTATGTCTCAGGCCAGGTGAGTAAGTATGTGTTCAATAATACACCTTGCACCCAGCCTCCTTCATGTAGTTTTGATCAATAGCCTAGGGGTTGGGGCACTGATGGCTTGTGCTGTAGTAGTTAGCAAAGAACTTGAGTGCAACACAGTAAGGTTCACTGAGAATGGATCTGACAGCTGTTTTTTCTACTTTGCTTTTCAATTCCTGATGTCTTAGCACTGATTAAAAACTATGAAAACTCTGAACTCTCTTTTGGTAAAAATGGAAAAACTGGAGGTAAAGTGTAATGTAGACGAATAACACAGGTTATTGATGAGGCGTCTGGTGTCAAAATAAGACCCTAGACGCACAGTACAGTGGTCCCTCGCTATAACACAGTTCACCTTTCGCAGCCTCGCTGTTTCGCAGATTTTTTGTGTGCAATTTTGCATGCTGTTTTTTGTTTGTTTTTTTTGACAGCTCATTGAGTTCTGCATCCTGATCGAATGTAGACCATTGTCAGTCATTGTCTTCCATGCCGTGTCTCCTGTACAGTACAGACTGCATCAAGCTTGTCAAATTTACATAAATCTTTGATCACTAGCAGTGTGACTCAAAAGTAAGTTTTTAAGTTTTTCCCCAACAAACACAACAATGTCAACAAAACTTTTCGCACCACCAAAGGCACTTGCGGTACCAACCAAAAGGCAGAGGAAGATGCTAACCATCGCACAGAAAGTTGGACTTCTGGACATGGAAGGTAGAAGTTACTGTATTTTTCTGACCATAAGGCGCACCAGATTATAAGGCGCAATAAGCAAAACAAAACAGTCAGATAAGTCAAACTTTATTCAACTCATTCTTCTTGCTTCCTCCACTTCCGTACCATTGATTCATTAATGTTGAATTCTCTCGCAGCTGCTCTATTCCCATGTTCTGTACCTGGAAACAGGGTTTGATCTTTGGTTTCATTCTATAATACTGGACTTATTTTTCTATGAAGGTTTGAACTTTGAGAGAGTTTAAACAAGAGAGAAAAGTGTGAAAATGTTCATGCCTGTCTGAGAAAAGTGTATAAAGTGTGTAGTGAGGAGGGTTTTATGGCCTTAAAACATCTATAATAATTGTAAAAAATTAAGCTGGCTACTTCACGGATTTCACGTGTCGCGGGTTATTTTTAGAACCTAACTCCTGTGATAAACGAGGGACCACTGTAAACCAAAAATGTTAACTAGATGAATGTTACACAATTTTTTATTTTTTATACATTATCATGTGAGAGTAACAAACATTAGCTACTGCTTGGAAATGAACTCTGAGCATTGCAAGGTGAAATATTGACTGGTCGTTAAAGTTACTGCCACATTGTGACTAACAAAATCCAAAATAGAACTCCAATTTAAATTTTTTTATGCTACGCTGTATGTAAGGCCTTCCTTTCAGCCATGATGGCACCTTTCTAGATCTCCAAGCAGCAATTTCCATAGGGACTAATGCACTTCCATACCATCAGACTTTTGGAATGAGCTGATAACAAGTGGGATGATCCCTCTCCTCTCTAGTCCAGAGTATACATGTTTACTAAACTTTCAAATTTCAATTTGTCTGACCACAGAACAGTTTTCCACTTTTCCTCAGTCCATTTTATGAGTTTTGCCCCAGAGAAGACTGTGGCTGCTTCTTTGGATGTTAGAACTTTTACTGAACTTTTGGATGGCACAATGAATGATGTTCACAGACTGATTTCTGAAAGTGTTCCTGAGCTGCACTAATTTGACAGAATCGTGCTTGTTTTTAATGCAGTGCTGACAGAGGGCCCAAAGATCACAGGAATCCAGTATTGCTTTTCTACCTTGTCCCTTTTGTAGAGAAATTTCTCCAGATTCTTAGAATCTAGTGAATCTTTTGATATTATGTATTGTAGATGATGTAGGTGATGAGGCACGTCCACACTTATTTTCCTTCTTATTCAGAAACCAAGTGCTTTAGTAATTTGGCTTAAGGTTTTTAACCAACATTAGTAAGCAGTTTTATAATGAAGCTTTTTAATTACATTTACACTTCCCTCCGTCCTGCATCCCTTAACTGCTTATGTTAAGAAGACTTGTATTTCAAATTAAGCAAAACTGATTACAGTAGATTTGCAGGCATACAGGAGATAACATTTCTAAAAGTACTTTTGACAAGCAAATATTTATATTTATTTATTATTTAAAAAGTTTTATTGCTAAGCCTTTTGAAAAATGAACCAGTCATGTTAGCACTGCAGATCAGCAAATTCTGCGGTAACCAGCTAAACACGAGAATCTCAGGGTGTCACATTGGTGACATTGAAAATCCCATTTTCACTTCATGTGCCACTTGAGTTTACATTTACTGTGTGATTGGTCTAGTGTTACACTTCTAAATGTGAGCTAAGCTTGTAGAGGTGGTAGATTAGAAAATGAGAGAAACAGAAGGAGAATGATCAAATGAAGACAGGCAGAATGAAAAGTGATGGGATGGGAGAGATGGGTGCTTTTGAGAATGAGCTGCAGTGGACCATTGCTTTCTCTGGAATAGGGAAGAAGTCAGGAGAGTGGGAACAGATATTTCACACCCCACGATACTTATCAACCACAGCTCTCAGCTATTTTTCTTTTTCTTTTTCTCTTGCTTTCCGTCAGTTGCTCAGACTTTCCTCATGCCTCTTTCCCCCAGCCCCTGGCTTGGAAAGATATTACTGACAAGTCAATCTGGGAGGAGTGCCTATTGAACAGCATTTACCCAGCTGTGAATAGGTAGTCCCATCCCCAGCCAGATTCAACTGAGGCCAAACCTCAAATAGGTCCATCAATTGAGCTATAATGAAGGGGCACAATAGGAGCCAGAGAGGCTGTCCACACACTTGTGCAATACCACACACACATGGCACACTTGCTTCTGAGACAACAGTGTTATAGTCATTAGCAGGACAGATGTCTAAGGACATAAGAAGAAATTATTCATACAGTTTAAAACAGATTAAATCATTTTTTAATCTCAGATTCTATTTTGTCATACAACAAAAGATTTGAATTTCACTTGACAAGGTCATCATGTACGATAATAGACAGCGACGATTATGATTTATGGAATATGGAAAGGGAATAAAACTGTAGCATAAATATATTTTGAACAGCCAATTCACGGTTACTAAATTTTTGCATTGAGTGAATAGTGAGTTTGTGTGTGTGTGTGGTGACAGCACTGTATGCCCTGCTGGTGGGCTTGATGCGTTTTAGTACTTTGACTCTTCCCCCCTCCCCTCCCCTCCACCACCTCTCCAGCACATGTTGACACAACCATTACCCATTTGTCCTCATCCACACGAACGTAGCAAAGCTGTCCTGCGCTTCAGATAGGAGGGCCTTGTATTGCTCTTTCATCTTAAAGTCAAGTCAGACTTGTATTTGCAGTATTTGCTAGGTCAGACTGTTGAAGACATAACCATTTTGTGTAAAGCCCAACTCTTGCACTCTTCAAGCATTTTAGAGTGCAAAGACTTGTTGCCTTAAAAATCCTAAGAAGAGTAATACTGTGCTTGCTGCAGCATTTGGAAGTGAGCCAGAGTCAAGAGCAGAGTTAAATGCAAACACATCTATTTAACTGTGTTTACACTAACTTGGAAACTTTTTCAGTAAGCAATATTCTCATTAGTTAGGCTTTGAAAAAACTGGTGGGCAGGGTTAACGTTAAAGTACAATGAACTTTAAGTGCAGCAAAAATGGAGTAGTGTAAAATGCACACACTTTGACCTGACTGAGAGCTCTTAATGCAAACGTTGGTTTATCGGCATTTTATTTCCAACTTAATTTCTTTGCAAAAACAAGAGGGAATGGCTCTCACTTTTGTTGTCAAGTTGGAGATGCTCTCATCAGCCTTTAATGGATACTTGTTGTGAAATGTAACAATGACCTTGACCACAACCCTCACAGCTTCAGCAAAGTTGCACGGGAGCAGTATGACAAGCTGGTGATCATGCACGGCAACATGGAGACGCTGTATCAGAACCTGCTGGAGTACTTTGCTATTGATCCTAAGAAGACTTCTGTGGAGGAGCTGTTCACTGATCTCAGCAACTTCCGTTCAATGTTCACTGTGAGTACATGGTGCAATCCTTCATTTTATATTTATTTTTTTAATATCTTGAGTTGGAGACATTTGCATATTGAATAATGTTTTGACTTTTCATTAAACCTGTCCTGCTATTAAAGCCACACAGGGATTAGCACAATATTTGTGTTACAGGAACTTATATGTCTTAATGAGAAATGAATGACTCAGCCTGTCTCATATTAAGATGTGCTTTTTTTATTTTTTTTTTGAATGGATTTATTTACCATTTAGTACAATGTTACATTAAGAGAAATACTGCAGTGCTACTTCATATCAGCTGGTGTTTTAATGCTATTTAAGAGTGTTTCATTTATGGGTGCATTTTCATTTTGCCTCTTGTTAACATATTTTAAGAAATGACAGAATTGCTAATGCTAAAACTGTGATAGATAAAAAATAGCTCTAACCATAAAGCTACTTATAATGTTGCACTGATTAGTTGCCCAACATCCATGAAAAATACAAGCAAAAAGGCAAACCACAAAATAAGTGAAAGATTTGCCAGAGTTTTATTTCAGGTTTGAGAGGGGGAAAAGACCTTGAAAATAGGGGTTATTATTTATCTTTTTATTCACTGCCTG